TTTCTTAGTGTTTCAAGTAGGAGTCCATTGAAGGTGGACAACCAATAAATTTAAACAAAAATAAATTTATGCCACTGTTCTGCATTGAATTCCATTCTGAATGCTTTGCACATCCTTACAGCCTAATGGGCAAGTTATAAACATACTTGTTTATAACCATTTTTTCCGTAATTGAATTACCATGGGATTTTTATTTAGAAAGTCAAAGCTCAGAATGAGCTGAGATTGGTACAGAAGCCAAGAACATTCCAAAGGTTTCATATATGCCCTGAATAAAAGAATTGTTAAAAAATCCTCCTCAGTGATTATGCCAAAAAATGTAACAGGTACCAAAGTAAAGGCAGAATTTCTCAACTATTTGCTTCTGTGTTCTCTGAACAAATAGATATATTCCACTAGATAGTTATGAACTGGCTGAGAGAACAGGTTTGATTCTCAGCTAAAGAGAAGCAAGGAATATTTGCTGATCTTGAAAGAAGTCTCAAGACCCAGATGGTTGCTCTCCAAGGCTGAAGGTCCTTACTGATGATCTAGTTGAACCTATATTCATATTTTTGAAAAATATTGGCAAAAGATTAGAGGAGGAGCACCCTCCCATTGAATCTTCCTGACTGTTAGTAATAAATACAATGAACTGTGATTCCCATGTAAGACAAGGTGAATTCTTAAGAGGGAAGATAGGATATAAATCTAACAATCACATTTCAAGGACTTAAGGAGTTTCACAGATTAATGTATTTGTAACTAGCAGCATGGGTAGTGGCGCATAGTGGAATGTGTGTTGGCAAAAAAATAAAGTATATTGGGGTGCAAATCCCTTGCCAGCTGCCATTGTGATACTTCCTGTTTGACATGGAATCTGTGATTGTGCACTGTAGAATATTTTCTCTAGACTATCAAGAGACTAGAAAAGCAAATGTTTCAAAAAATTATTAATAATTTTGCTTATATTTAACTTCCCTTTGAAAAATTCAGTCTTGTGGCCACAACAGAAATGGATAGAACTCGGAGAAACTCAATTTAATTTAGATGAAATATAACTAATGGTGGGCCACGCCAATAATTCCGATGGATTCATACATGGCCTTCCAGATGGGGTAAACATATATCCCAACAGGTATCTTACAACTTCCAAGACCAATAGGTTTCGTTGCTATGCGTGACTTGGGAGATGGGGCAGAATGACCTCATAGGTAGCCCAGTGTTTTTTCTGTCTTATAGTTTCAGTTGGACAGGAGACAGGACTTTCTTCTAGCAGTAACTCTTGGTGTAGTATTCAAATAAGACGTGACACAATGCATAGGTTTGATGTGTTGCTTACTTTAATTAATCCCCTCAAAACCCAGAAAATTCCGTCCCTCCATTATAGCTGCAGCCCATATGGATTGAGAATGTTTTCCTACATCTCAGTATCACTTCTTGCATGACAAATATTCCCAACCTGGAAACAGTTCCCTCATTCTGTCTTACACAAGAGCTGTTCCAGGCTGTTCAGCATAGAAATCTCAAGAGTTGTAACCTATGGACATACCTACCCCTGAAACGAAGTTGTTTTTTCTTAGAATCTTTATTCAGAATGGGGTATAACAAAAAAGGCAAGGGAATAGGTGAACAATTCCCATATGACTTCAAAGACCTGAACAGTTGCTTACAAACAAGATGGAGAGACAGGCTGCCTGCAACTGCCCCATCATTCCATTTACAGCCCCCAGAAATACCAATTGAACAAAACTGACATTTTTAGACTTTTTCCTCTTACATTAAAGGGTGCCAATAATGAACTTATATTAATAGTGTATAGAGTATACAGAATTGGCTTAATTCATCCATACGCCAAACCATCATTCACACAACTGAACCATCCATTGATTCATGAGATAGTCAATGATGGTTTAGCCTGATATGTGATGTGAACAGAATTGATAGAAACAGATTTGTTTCTATCATAATTAGCTTCTAGGTGAAGGGGCAAGTTCAAGACATTTTGAAAGTGGTAACATTCCTGCATGAACCATTGGTGTAGAGATTCATATGGACCCAAGTAAAATACAGGACTTCAAGATGGGGTAAAAATAGGAGTTCATCTCCCAAATTGCCTAAGGAGACTGTATTACAATAGATTTGTTTGCTTATTATGGAGAGAGGGCCACACAAGCATACTGTTGTGGTCTTGCTTCTGTTTTTTTTTTAAATACTGTAAGTCCATTGGCTTAGCATCTATTTGAAGTTAATGATAGCACTGCAAAAAGCAACTTATAATCAGTTCTCACACTTACAAACATTGAAGTGTCTCTCTGGTCAAGTGATTATGAATTGGGCACTCAGCAGCCAGCATCTATTTATGATAGTTGTAATGTCCTGGGATCACATTATTGCTATTTGTGACCTTCCTGGCTGACTTCTGACAAGTCAAATCGAGAGGAGGTGCCAGATTTGCTTAATGACCTTAGCAAAAGAAATAATAAAATTGGGCACTGTCATGTGATGACACACGATTGCACTGCTTAGTAACAAAAGTTCCACTCCCTCTTGTAGTCGTATGTCAAGAACTACCCGCATTTTAAAATTGTATTACAGAGTAAGTAATGCATGATTTGACCTTTGGAGACAATCAGTACCAAACACATAGGTTAAACATTGCAAGTTGTTGGATGGTTGGAACACATTTCACAAAAGCTCCATTCTGTTGCATTCTCAGTATATCGTTGAATTCCTAAGAGGGGAACATGCAATTAGTAGTCATCTTACAGCAAGCAAAGCAAGTACCATGGCCATTTGTTACTCTGGTATATACACCATAGAGACAGAAAGAGAGGAAAAGGCACATTTATCTCATCAATCTTGTGCAGCTGGGAAATATGCACCCAAATGCACTTGTAAAATTAAACAGCAGTGAAGAAAAATATACAAAAAAGTTTGTTGCGTGCCTCTCCTGTTCAAATCATGTTTGTTGGGGGCCAGAGAAATCTGATTATTATGGGGCTTTGAGAGGAAGTGTGGAGGCAAAAATACTAAGAAGAGGTAGAATTAAGACTCTAGTCCAGGGGTAGGCAACTCCCAGAATTCCTGAGCCAGCATGGCTCAGCTTGGAAACCTCTCCCTTTCCCCTAGGCATGGCTGGTTCAGGAATTCTGGGAGTTGAAGTCCACGAGTCATAAAAGAGCCAAGGTTGCCTACCTCTGGCCTAGGCCTAGGCCGCTTTATGACTTTTGGACTTCAACTCCCAGAATTCCTGAGCCAGCATGGCTCAGCTTGGAAACCTTTCCCTTTCCCCTAAGCATGGCTGGTTCAGGAATTCTGGGAGTTGAAGTCCACGAGTCATAAAAGAGCCAAGGTTGCCTACTTCTGGCCTAGGCCTAGGCCGCTTTATGACTTTTGGACTTCAACTCCCAGAATTCCTGAGCCAGCATGGCTCAGCTTGGAAACTTTTCCCTTTCCCCTCAGCATGGCTGGCTCAGGAATTCTGGGAGTTGAAGTCCACAAGTCATAAAAGAGCCATCAAGACAGATATTCCCCACCCCAATGAAAATTAATTATACAATACAATGCAACACAAAACAACAAGCTTTCTCTTTCTTGTAACAGTGCTTGTATCTCTGTAAAGATCAAATAAAAAAAGATTACAACATCTACAGTACTTTTACCACATTCTATTTAAACAACCATGGTAGAAGCTATCTTAAAACTTGACTGATGAATAGAAGGAACGATGCGTGATCAAAGTATAGTTCTGTGGCGAGGCGAGTTATCCCTTAGTAGCTCTACTTCCATTAGCAATTCTGTAATTAGCAAATATCTACAGTTATTAATGAAAGATGTAAGGCAAAATGTTGTACTGAGGGTTCACAACATTGGAAAGAATTAGGCTCTCCCCCTTTACAGAAATTCCTATTCAAATCTCTTCCATGCAACAACTTGTGTTAATAATACTTTCCACTGGAAAGCAACAGAGGCCGTTTTTATTCCTTCTGAAGAAAGAAAAAATGTCTCATCTCCAAGACGGTTGGAGAGTAGCTTTGATAGTTGTCCTCTGAATGTTGGATTCCTTGAGAGAAGCCCTTGAGAACTTCTTTGAGAATCTGATCAACCAAATGGGGTATCGTACAGAGCACATTTATCCTTTAAGTGCCCCATGCCTAATCAATGTCAAATTTGTTTCATTTCTGAAATACACTCCGGATGTTGGACAGCATGGCATAATTAGTTATCATTGATGAATACTAGATAGCGCAATTGTCTAAGTTATTCAATAACTACTGGTGTAAATGTTCTGGATTTTTATTTCTTAAATCAGTTTCTCTATGAAAGTATAAACACAGGCAATGAATAATTACACAATTATCTCCATTTAACAGATATGTCACACAGCCTCTTGTCTAAGAGCTAACTCATACGACCTGGTGAATTTTTGATATGGTAACCCCCAACAGAACGGATGTCACTAGATGGAACCCAACGGGATGATTTCAGAATCCCTTCCAATTGGAAGAACATTGGCTTCCCTTTCCAGGAAAAACATGCGAAGATGCCCATTTTATAAGGATCTTCTTCAAGACAGTCCTATTCATCTCTCATGTTTTAAAATGCATAAAACACAACAAAAGCCCTCCACCTCAAAAGCTTCAAATTCATCTTTGCACTCCTATTTGTTGTACTTGTTTTTTGCAACCACAAAGTAAAAAAAAAAAAAAAAAAACACAGCGTAAAATAGATTCAATATAGCAAACAGAAATAGACCTCGACTTACAACCATAATTCAGCCCAAATTTTCTGTTCTAAGTGAGACATCTGTTAAGTGATTTTTTGCCCCATTTTTCAACCTTTCTTGTCACGGTTGTTAAGTGAATCATTGCAGTTGTTAAGATACTCAACACAGTTGTTAAGTGAACCTGGCTTCCCCATTGACTTTGCTTGTCAGGTTACAAAAGATGATCACATGATTTCAGGACATTGCAACCGTCATAAATACGAGTCAGTTGCCAAACGTCTGAATTTTGATCAGACATGACTACTGGGGTGCTGCAATAGTCATAAGTGTGAAAAATGATCTTAATTCACTATTTTCAGTGCCGTTGTAATTTCAAACAGTTACTGAATGGATTGTTGTAAGTCGAAGACTATCTGTACAATATTTGAGCTTCCCCAGATTGTTAACGAAACACTATTCCAATGATACCCCACAAATCTTATACAACTGATCCGGAAATACTTCTTGCTCTTATTTGTCCAGCCATGTCCGATTTGTTTTCCTGAATGAAAAGACTGGAGAATAAAACAAAAAAGTTCAGGACCCAACACTTGAAATTGTATTCTGTTGTGGACTTGTCATCTCCAATCTTCTGTAGAAAAGAGCTAAGAAGCAACAATGCTTACTTTAATGGTTTTCAAAAGAGAGTGATAAAAAGTAGGTGCTAATTTCAATTCCTTGAAATGCTTCATTGAAGATACTCTGACGTATGCAAAGTCCTTATGGAGTTCTCCAAATTTGCAGATTAATGTATGCCAAAAGAGACAAAACAGTCAATATCAGATCAGATAATATTTTCCCAGAGAGAAAGTGTTCCTAAAAGCAGGAGTAACATTTGTGGATGTTTGTCTTTTGTCTTGTCGTCACAGACTTTAAATAATGGCATCATGTTCATCACTAGAGAAAAAAGAAAGAAAGGGAATTATATTATACACATCAATGGGAGCTGAAGTCACAGAATTATTAAATTAGATTAAGGAACATGCAAAACTTTCTAGACCATCTTTTGTGCTGGGGGAAAAAACTTTAGATCTTCACAAATAAGCTGGGTTCTGCTGATCAAGACAGTATTTAAGGTTATTGTGATTATATGTAAATTAACAAGAGCACTGCTGAATCTTCATATGAATCATATAGACAGCATGATACAGTGCCTGGAGAAGAGACTGATCACATCATGTGAACAGAGCTACTGTAATTCCTCGTAATAAATCTGTTGATGATGATTTAAATTATTTGGCGATCCCCAAAACATGATCAATGGGAGTGAATATTAAGCACTAGGCTGTGCAAGCAATTTTATTTGACAATGCTTGTTACTAAACTTGAGCACAAACATGAAATACAGTGAGTGAACTTGGTGATGTGAAAGAACACAAATAGTTCTCAGTTAGTAACTGTATTGCTTAGCAACTTCACAGGTATGTTTGTTTATATCCCACCTTTACTCAAGGCAGTGAATATATCCAACACACCTTCCTCCTCCTATTTTCACCAAAACAACCACCTGTGAAGTGAGAGACTGACCCAAAATTCTCTGCTGGCTTTCATGGCTAAAACAGGACTTGAACTCACAATCTCCCACTTTCTAGCCTAGGGTCTTAATCATTAGAGCAAACTGATGATGAAAGGGGATGAAAAAGTAACTTTGCAACCAATCCTCGCATTTATGAATTTTGCAGTCCTTTAAAACAAAGAAAAGCTGAAGGAAGCTCTTAAGCAGCCATGGTTTCACTTAATGATCGCCTCAACAGCCAAGATTCTAGTTCCAATTGTGCTCACTAAATGAGAGCTACCTATAATATATTCTCCCTATTATGTGTGTACCCTTTGTCTATTCATTCCCATGGAATGCAACTAAATATACAAATAGAAGTAGAAATGGGGGAAATTAATTCAATAGTTAAAAACAATGAAGGTGGAGAACAGGATATCTGGGCAAGGAACAAGCATCTTGTGATTTATTTACCAATACAGGTTGGTAAAATTCACACTGTAACCGAAAAGAGAATCTCCTGAAGTTAAAAATAATTGAATTGTAAAGTTGTCCTGCATTTGGTAGAACATTCCTCCCATGAATAGGAATCTACAACTACGTCTGATGGTATGGGGCAGGGGTAGGCAACTTTGGCTCTTTTATGACTCGTGGACTTCAACTCCCAGAATTCCTGAGCCAGCTTGGCTGGCTCAGGAATTCTGGGAGTTGAAGTCCACGAGTCATAAAAGAGCCAAGGTTGCCTAACCCTGGTATGGGGTAATGGCTTTGGGAAACAGGCAGAAGAGCCACAGAGTGGACAACTGGTATGTAAAGGTTATCTCAGTCTATAGAAGGGATGTCCGGTGTGGATGGGAAGCATTTCAGAAGGGATCCTCCCTAGTTTTCTGGAGAGTAAAAGGAAAGGAGGTGAGAGTTATTTTCAGTCTTGCAAGATTTTGTTAATCTTACAATAAAGATTTTGGTTGTACTTCTTGGTCGGACAACCACAACCACAGCCACAAAGCAAAAATAGTGTCTGATCTTACTGGAAGGAAAGAAATTGCTTCCTTTGTTACTGTATGCTTAAAAATAAACCAACCAAGCTTGGTGAGCAAAATTCTGGAATTGGACGGGGGAGGAGGGGGAGCAAGGAAGCACAAAATGAAAAACTGCAGCTTCCTTCAAAGGATGAAGAAAAGTTATTCTATCTTAGGACCAGTTACGTGCTCAAGTATATGGCCCCATGCTTTTGTGAACAGCAGGAGGCAAAAGGGCTTGCTTTCTGCTGTAACAGAAAAGGTAGGGTCCAATCAAGGGCTGAAATAGTTCAAAAAAGACGGGATGTTGCAGATCTCCGGGCCTCTACCCATGTGGAGCCAATGAAAGGAAGTAATCGCAGAGTAAACAAAAGAACTCTCATTGTTAGGAAAGGTTACAAAGGGTTTAGTACTATGACATTTCCTCTTGTGCAAGAAGGTGCTAGTCTTGCCTATCAGAGGAATAAAAACATAAAGAGTTAAGATGAAAGCAACCAGAAAAATTACTAACATCCCGTCCTTAAATATTGCTATTTCATTAGGGTTATGAGCCAATCTTAGGGTTCATTGAGTCTATTATTATTGGAGGGGAAAAAAATCAAGATTCCACACCATTAGCAGCAGGGTGTAATATTGTACCTGAGTTTACATTAAAATGTTGGAGATGTATACCTGGAAGAGAACGGCAGAATATGCAAAATCATAATAAACGTCTTCTACCAGGTGAAATCATTGATCAATTTAGTTTAAGATTTGCTTTGGCTCAGCCTATGGTATTATTTATCTGCTGACTTCAAGCGATTCAATCAGTGGGTTTTATGGCTAAATGATGCTGACAGCCTGGGTTTGTAAAGAGCTTTGGTCTCTCCATCTGATCTACCTTGTTGGTCTAAAATAGTGGTGGCGAACCTATGGCGCGCGTGCCAGAGGTGGCACTTGGAGCCCTCTCTGTGGGCACACATGCCGTTGCCCCAACTTTGCCTCCTCCCGTGACCCCCTCCTCACCAGCAGTCCCCCTGGAGAGTCGCTCCAAGGCGTGGCCTGTGCGGAACAGCGCAGCCAATGACATGGCAGCCAGGCAGCGTAGACAAGACTCAGTCCACACACCCCATTGTGCACAGTTGATGCTGCGGGGCGCAGCACCATGGCCGCAATGGTGTTGCTGGGCTGCCTGGGTGATCTGTGGCAGGTCCTATAGGTGGTGAGTGGCCCTGCCGGCGGGCTGGGTGGGGGCACTCGGTCTCTAAAAGGTTCGCCATCACTGGTCTAATATGTCCGAAGTTACAGATTTCATCATCCTACCATTGGTTTCATTACTGAATTAGAAACATGGGTGTCAACCCTGCCAACTTCGTATCCTGTCACATTCTCCAGTGCTCGAGCAGATTACATTCTTCCTCAAACCCTGTCCAGTATTACACTTAGAGAAAGATCAAAAATATTCAACCCAACGTACATGGTTCGATACTGAACACCTCTTTTTGTGTGATAGATTCTGCATCCAATATAGCCAAAGGCAAGAAGTCCAAGAGTCAACACAATGCCACCAATGAAGCTGCCGGCACTGAAGCCCAGTGAGTTGCCTTGAACTGCTGAAACTTCTGTAATGGTTTTTAAAAAAAAAAGACAAAAATGTTCATATACTTTTGCTGAAGTATTAATTTTTCATTTTTTCTAAGAGTGTATATTGTACAGCTCTTTCCTGCAGGTTCTTGTTCTTTTAATTCTTATTATGTTTTACCCTATTTCTTTTTAAGGACATGTAGCTGATGTTGGCTGATCTTGAGAAACTAAGTAGGTTGGCTATGGTTAGTTACTTGATCAGGAGTTTACCAGGATACATTCTGTAGAAGAGAGTAGGAAGCTGAAAAAGAAAAAAAACCCAACCAACTTCCTGGAAGAAACCGCTGACAAATGCTTCTGAAATGTTATCAAGAAAACTGTATCTATGGAAGAAGCAGATGATCTCAAAAGACTCTTTATCTTACTTATCCTTATCCTTTAGCACAGGGCTCTCCAAACTTGGCAATTTTAAGACTTGTGGACTTGACCTACCCAACCAACATGGTTGGCTAAGGAATCCTGGGAGTTGAAGTCCACAAACCTTAAAGTTGCCAAGTTTGGTTTTCTCCGTTTTAACATGCAAATAAAATGAATTCTGTTTGGTTGTAGGAACCTATCTCAAGAGCCTATTCTTTACCATAGCTCAGACCAAGTTGGATTTTTCTTGGCTGATTTTTAGAGCAGGAGTGGACAATTGAGAATCTCTTTTCAATGTCTCTGGAGGACCTTCACACCACCGCTAAACACTTGAGTCATTTTTTTTAATGATTCTGAAATGGGAATAACAACTGTATGAATGCTCTAGAATAGTATAGTTCAGTAAGAATCGGCCACCTACAAACTCAGGAAAACAGAAATGCTTGCTTGGTCTTGCCTATCTTGCTCTTTTGTTCACCCTGTCCTGCACATCACTCAGAAATATTACATTAATGTTAACTTATGTTTTGGAGGATAATTCCTATAATATGTCAATCCCTTTCTTGTAATTGGAGCTGGCTGGCTTTAAATATTTGGAGAAGAATATCACACTACCTTTTAATCTTGTGCTCTCCATTCTACACATGTCCACCTTAAATGTTCCCTCAAAGAAATTTGATCTCCCGGCTTCACTCCATCTATGTTGTTCCCTTCTGGACATATATTGGACAGCTTTCTCACCCCACATGCCTGACATAGGAGTAAGGAATTCTGCATCTTCCAGTGGTTTTGGACTTCAACTGCCATTAAGCCATGACAGCATAGCCAAAGGCAAAGGTCAGTGCTGACATACTTCAAGACATATGAAAAACACCACATTTCTTAACCCTGTTGTATGAACATGTAAACCAACTTGCATTCAAGAGCTACTAGGAAAGGGTTTCTTTTTTATTAATGGTGTCCTTTGTAGAATCTGCTTTTGGGAGGTACCAGATAAGTTGGTTCCTTTCTGATGTTTAGGTGCAAGACCTTTCTTAGGAAAACTTCACAACTGAATTGTTAAAGCACATTAACAAGTTTTATTCTTAGCAAGCAACTGGACTGCCCTCCACTGGATGCTGGCTTAGAATTCTGGGACTTATCGTCCCAATACTTCTGAAATACGTCTGATTGGAAAAGTTATAGCATTTTGGTTGCTCACTACATGGCTTCTCTTGAATTGGTATTAAGGTCATAGGTCAGAAACAAACCAAATACTTGTGAATGTAATAAATTATCCATAATATTCTAATTTTTCACAGTTACCTAGAAGAGATGTACCTTATTTCTATAATTCTGACAAAGTTTCTTTAAAAACAAAGACAATTATGATAAATTGAATGGTGTGAGGTACAAATGCTATCTAGATAACTATCAACCAGGAAGTGAAATATCAGTACATACTTGTTGCCAAAGCGGGCGATGGCTTCGTTACAGGAACTGCAATGGTCTTGTGTGTCCCAGATTCAGTTGGTGAATGCGTTGTACTGGCAGGTACTATAGGTTTAACTGTTTGAGCGGCTATGGTAGGTTGTGCAGCAGGGGTAGTCTTGTTGGTGATTGTTGTGATCTTAGACGTCACGTCAGGATGAGCCGTGGTTTTCACTGATTTTTGGGTGGCATGGGTAACAGTCATGGTCTTTGCTGGTTTAGAAAAACATGTAAGGTTTGTAAATAATGCTTCTGTTACAGGATAGATTTATTAATATATCAAAAGGTATAGTAAATGATTCTTATCATTTTTGGAATAGAAACCTCATAGGAAGCTACTAATTCAGCCATTTTGCAGGTGTTCCTAGATTTGGCCAGAAGTAAAAATGTTGGAACAGGGAATAGTATACATACAGTATTCAGGAGAAGTAATGGACCACCCCCTGAATGGACAGATTTTTAAAGTCCCAAAGAAATATACAATATTCTCTCCGTAGAATGGTATGTTTTGAACTTCCATAAACCAGAAAATGAGAGCTAATTTGGTATATGTCTATGGAGATTCTCAGTCATCTAGGTATGGTTGTCCCAAAGGTGCTTTTCCAGGAGGAAACAAGACAGTACAGTTACCTCCTGGAAAAGCACCGTTGGGACTAATTTGATGTAGTGGGCTGAGACACCAGGCTAGAAACCAGGAGATTGGGAATTCTAGTCCCACCTTGGGCACAAAACCAGGTGGATGACCTTGAGCCAGTCACTTTCTCTCAGCCTAGGAAAGAGGCAAACTACTTCTGAAAAAACTTGCCAAGAAAACCACATAGACTTGTCCAGGCAGTGTCTAATTGGACATGTCTGAACAGAAAAGGGAAAAACTCTGTAAAATACAACTTGAATTAAATAGCAACAGCACTAATAGGGATAAAATAGCTTAAATATACCTTACCTTACACAACAACAAATTAGTTTGCTACCAAGATTAGATGCTACTCATTCCTTGATGTGGCTGGTTTATTCTATACTTTTACTTCCCTAGCAATCAACAGCCACATTCTTTCTGATACAAATCATCAGGTCAGTTCGTAGCTTACCTAATCATGAGAAAATACCCTTTCTTCCACAACTTGTGAAAACTACATTCCATTCTTCGTTTTCATCTTGGCAAGCCAAGCATGCTGTGAGATGTGAAATATTTAAGTTCCTTCCTATTTATTTTTTGCTGCAGTTACATTTTCCCCATTGAGGGGACTGATAGCATTCACGTGGGCGTGATACCCCAAAGATACACCATTCCTGAATCACGTATTTGGGAGAACAGAAAAGAAATATAACCTACCTATTTCTACATCCTGAATGGAAACCTGTGTCGGGTATTTCACGCCATTTATACACCGATGTATTGATTTATATTTTTTCTATCTACAGTATAATGATTTCTGTGCTGATTTATTGATTGATTTATATATTGGGAAACTCCTGGAAATTTTAAATCTCCTTAGGCAATACAGCTAATCCTAGACTTACATCCAGAATAGAGTCCTAAATTTTTGTTGCTAAATGAGACAGTTAAATGTGTTTTGCCACATTTTATGGATTTTTCTCCCACTGTTGCTGGGTGAATCTTTGCAGTTGTTCAGAACTTGTTAAGAACTCAAGAGTTTTCTGGGTTTTAGCTTGATGCTTTTAACCACTACACCAAACTGGCTATCACACCTAGGTTCAAATTCCCATAAAATTACAAAGCTCATTACATGATGCTGAGCCAGTTGCTTCCACTCAATACTACAGATCTTGTGAGAATAAAATGTGGTAGGAGGGAATAAATCTTCTTAGACAGGAAAGGCAACATGTGTATGTCACAATTGAAAATAAACAGCTCTTATCCCCTAATGAGACAGGCATAGAATAAGCTGTGAGATATTTGTAACATCTTCCGCAGAAGCGTCTGTGAGCCATCCAGAAAACCAAGGAAAAGAGGAATGCAAATATTTATGTGCAGTCACCAGGACATTGCAGTTCGTGTTTGGGTTTATAGCTGTTATAGAAGAGAAGGGATAAAACCATCTGCATCATTGTGGCTTGCAAATCCAGAGGAGTGTTTTCAAAAGGAAGCAGAATGCTCTCTGAAGAAACTCAACACATTGGAAAAAAATGTCCCAACTTAGGCTCAGCTTTTCATCTCCGCCATGTTTAATTATAATCACAAAGTTGGAGATAAACAGTCTCCAAGAAGGGCAAATCCATCCCTCTTTTAAGTAACGACTTCAGTGTCAAACTTTCCTTACCTAAAGAAATTTAAATTTAAATTATCATTAAATAAAATCTCTCTCCCCCTTCCCCCAAACAATTCAAGAGTAGACACTCTTCAGAACTTGAAAGCATTTTGCATCATGGCTGTCATGGGACAGTTGTCCATTCACAAAACAGCCGATATGTAGCCTGAAATGATAGGAAATAAATGATAAATTTTCTTCATGCAAATAATCTGTTCTGAGTGTCTTTTCCTAAATACCTTTTATGCATGAAGTATCCAACTACCATTTTTTTTCATGAGTTATATTTTAATTTGAAATATGAAAAAAACAACAACAGTGCTTAGGTCAGAATTGTTATTTGAATCAGGGAAAAGTGGGCATCAAAACACATTGCTCAGTTGTAGAAATGCTCTGGGGATTTTTACAGCCGCCTTTATAAACGGAAGTTGTGGAGAATGGTTATCTTTAGCACCTTGGAAAGAAATCAGCTGTGGTTTCAAAGTTTAAACTGAAAACTTCCTGAAACAAGCCTAACTCATTTGTTTTTCTTGTCATTTGGAAAGCTATTGTCCCCCTGCCCCAAATATCATTTAAAGACAATATTAATTATGGGCAAAAGGATCAAGGCATTTGCTTGGCGAAATACTTACCTCATGACATGATCCTTTTGTGAAGCATGCATGAAATATAGGAACAGATGCAGTAATTGTGTAGATCACTTCTTGAAATGTTGATAAACAAGGCATGCCACCATTTTTTTTCCCATTTATAGCATGTGATTTTTAAAAATGAGATAATCATCTTGTTCTTTTGCCTACTGCATTATAGAACTAACTAAATTTAACATTTTCACCACTTTCATTATAAATACAAGGTCCTATTTTTGATTAGGGTGACTGAAAGTGATTTGGAGAAGCTTTAACATTTATCTTTCCACTTGTTTTATTTTGAAATTGGAGATTGTCCTCTCCTCTCCCCTCCCCCGCGCTCCCCTATAACACATAGATTCTATCATGAAGCATGACAGAAGCAGAGATTGAAGGGCAATTCTTAGGCAGGATGGAAACAGAAAGAAAATATTCTGACCAAAAATCAAATAAGCCTAAATATACTTCATGAACTGCAACCAATGCATGTACAGAAAAAGAGCAAGAGGCAGAAATATGTTCTGATTATGTTACTTAGTTAGATAATAAAACCTCTGCAAGAAATAAGCAAGTTCTGAGAGCACCAAGGACCCCACAGCTCATCAGTCTTATTTCCTGATTTGCATTCAGCATAAGCTACAAAAGAATAGAGATACCAAACGTTGGTGTATAAGGCCAATCTCTGCCAAATGCAACCTCCATTTCTGAATTTTCCTTCAAGTCCATCCTGACTCCTGGTGACTCTATGGACAAGACCATGCAGTTTTCAGTTTGCCATTGGCCCTTTCTAGGACTGTGAGTGTGCCAAAATCATCCAGGTGACTTTCATGCCTAAGGTAGGATTAAAATCATAGTCAATATTCTTACTCTAGTAGTTCCTTAACTATTAATCCAAGCACACAACATTCTCTCGCTCTCATTCTGAATTTGCATAAGCAAAAGGCAGGAAGCTATAATAAAGTCTTCATGACCCCCGGGACACTGCGACCATCATAAATATGAATCAGTTTCCAAGCATCCAAATTTTGATCAGGTGATCATGCAGACGCTGCAATGGTCGTAGGTGTGAAAAAAGGTCATAAGTCACTTTTTCCACGGCTGTTGTAACTTTGAACGATCATTAAACGAGTGGTCGTAAGTCAAGGACTACCGATACAGGGAAGATGTGTATGCTTATTATGCTGCCCTTAAGATAGTTCGGGTGCTATCACAGCTTCTATAAATAGTTGTTTGGAGGAACATGCTTGTTATTTGACAGATGAGTCTAATTAAGCCTACAGAAAACAAGAACACCACCCTTTTTCTCTCTCAGATGCTGTCATTTTGCTCCAGGAAATAAAGCCAGAAAAGACCTGAAAGATCAGAAAGTACCTCTATTAACTCACAGTTCAAGCTTTTGTCTCTTTCTCTCTCTCTGATAGCCTGTAAGCAAACTTCCAGCCAGGCAGATAGCAACAGCAACCTATACCTCCAGTTCTATGCCTCACATGCAAATCCTACCAAGTATACAATACTCAAGCATGATTACAGGGTTACTGGTAGCATTAGGACTTTATAAGTTCTTCCCTAAAGCTGTAGCATTATCTAGAACAATTTCTCAACCTCAATATCTTTAAAATATGTGGATTTCCAATGCTCAGCTTCCCCCACTAACTGGGGCAATTCTGAGAGTTGAAATCCATACATCTTAAAGTCTCTGAGGTTGAGAAATGCTGTTCTAGAAAGTCATACTCAATTTCCATTACTTATTTTTCCAGGAATTATTCTCCATTCTGAAAGAACGGTAATCAGTGATAGACTTCCCTTTTTTAGCTCTTGAAAGCCAGTGCAGTGGTTGAGAGGCCCTTTGCCCATACATCCATAGACTTTGAATCTCAATCTTTCAATTGAAAAAAAAAAAAAAGACAGAGAGAACGTAACATTCTGTCACATGACCTGTTCTAAAGAAGAAAAATGAAATCACCCTGAATGGTGGCACTCTTTTCCAGGTGTAATTATTCATAACATATTTGATTTGGGAAAAAAAAGTGGGAAAAGAAGAATTTAAATTTGTTTTGAAGAGGGTTTGAAGAACAAAGCAGCGTAAGAAGGAAGTTTACCTGTTGTTGAAGAATTACTTATTGTTGATGAGCTTAAATGGGCAGCAGAGGTACTGCTGACAGTTCCCTGTACGGACTCTGAAATAAAACAGATACATATCAAAGTAATTTGTGCAATGTTTCCAATCTCTTCTTAAAAACTTCCAGTGTTGGAACATTCACAACTTCTGGAGGCAGGTTGTTCCACTGATTAATTGTTTTGTCAGGAAATTTCTCCTTAGTTCTAGGTTGCTTCTCTCCTTGATTAGTCTCCATCCATTGCTCCTTGTCCTGCCTTCAGGAGCTTTGGAGAATAGCTTGACTCCCTCTTCTTTGTGGCAACCCCTGAGATATTGGAACACTGCTATCATGTCCCCCCTTGTCCTTCTCTTCATTAAAGTAGACATACCCAATTCCAGCAACCGTTTTTTATATGTTTTAGCCTCCAGTCCCCTAATCATCTTTGTTGCTCTTCTATGTACTCTTTCTAGAGTCTCAACATCTTTTTTATATCATGGTGATCAAAACTGGATGCAGTATTCCAAGTGTAGTCTTACCAAGGCATTATAAAGTGGTATTAATACTTCCCATGATCTTGATTCTATCCCTGTTAATGCAGCCTAGCACTATGTTGGCTTTTTTGGCAGCTGCAGCACAGTTAGCTCATATTTAAGTGATTGTCCACTAGGACTCTGAGATCCCTCTCACAGTTACTACTACTGAGCAAGGTATCACTTATACTGTACCTGTTTGTTCACTAAGGTTTCCTATCAGCTCTGATGTTGCTTCTGAATGACTGGTACTGCCTTTGAGGGAGCAGGTCTGTCAGGTCTTCTAGGACTCACTACTACCATTAGATGGGCAGGTGAAAACCATAGTCAGTGCTGGTGTACTAATGACAGACCTGCCTGAAGCAAGAGGATCTTGCAGAAGTAACTCTCAGCACTACTTGCCTAGACAACTACAATGTGCTCTGCATGGCCTTTAAAGATCAATACAAGAGAATATTTGTAGCTCAGGGTTGAATTGTGGAATCCTTGGTGCTCTCTGTGCTTGGTTGCTTTCTTGCAAATGTTTCACTATCCAACTAGGGATAATTTGCAGACATTTCACTATCCAATTAGGAGTACTTGAGAAACTGAGCATCTAGGCCAAGCTAAATCCAACACTAAACACTAAAGAATTCCTGGAAGTGTGGAACTCACACGTATCAGCCATCAACAGACACATAGAGATAAATGACATCTACATACCACTCAAAGAAACAATTACTAATTAAAATGGAAACAAAAAGACCAAAATATCTGTAATATCTGTTGTAATCAACATCCAGATAAACTGAGATTAACATCAGGATTAATACCAGACCAACAATCAACCATTAAACAATACCTTAATCAAGGAACTACCAGTGCAGACAATCAAACATTAAACAGCCTAATCAAGGAACTACCAAGAAGAAAATTAGACTTTCACCAATACTGACAGGGCAAGCCACTTGTACATAAACAGAGAGTAAACTTTATTTTCTTCTAGCACTGCTGATGTTATCTATTTGGGTAATGAAATGTCGGGCAGAAAACAACCAAGCTCAGAGAACACCAAGGACTTCATTTTGAGTATCAACAGGAAACTGAAGTTCATGCAAATTACAATGGCCCACGTGCTAACTGACATGAAACGCCATTAACATATTTCACCTATGAGGCCTGTATTGGTTACCAATAGGTTTTAGGGTACAAATTAAAATACTGTTTTTAATCTACAAAATAGGACTGATGCCTTCAACTAGAATTGACCCTATGGTACAAATGTAATGATAACAATTACTTCTATGGGAAGTCAGCCCACCCCAGAGAAAGAAATATTTTGGGGAAATATTACAGATGGTCCTCAACATATGATCGTAATGGAACCGGCCCATTACTGTCGTACGTTGTGACTAATCCAATTTTACGACCTGTTTTGCAGTGATCATTAAATGAATGCCATGGTTGTTAAGCAAACCCACTGCTCACTACAGTGTGGTTTTGCTAAAAACTGAAAGTAACTTGCAGTAAAATGGTTTCTAAGCGACTCGTCATAAGTTGAGGACTACTTGTACTAGCAACAGTTATGAAATCGTCTATCTTGGACAAAGCTGGTGTATTTGTTACTTTAGAATATACCCCTTCCTTTTTGTATATTATCCTTTTTATATTTGTTATATTCTTTAGTTCAGTATTTCTCAACCGTGGCAACTTTAAGGTGGCAACTCCCAAAATTCCCCAGTTAGCAGCATGGTATAGATTGCACAAATCTTCAGCTACAGAAAGCACAGTGGTTCAAATGTTGTGATTAATGTTTATTTTAAAGCTAGCGGACAAGCCTCTCTTGTCACAATGAGTCTCTACATTTTTCCCATGGCTGATAAAGCACAGGCTTCTCTCACACATGCATATTCTAAAAGCTGAGGCAGAACTGTTAGATGCAGAGAGCTTAGGCTGTTTTTTAAAATCCTTTTCAACAAAGTCTGCATATCACAAAGTGAAATTTTAGAAATCTATCAAGAGATTTGTGGTTCGGATAGCAGTAGCACTTAAGACTTATATACCGCTTCACAGTGCTTTACAGTCCTCTCTAAGCGGTTTACAGAGTCAGCATATTGCTCTCAACAATCTGAGTCCTCATTTTACAACCTCGGAAGGATGGAAGGCTGAGTCAACTTTGAGCCGGTGAGAATCGAACTGCTGAACTGCTGGCAGTCAGCAGAAGTAGCCTGCAGTACTGCATTCTAACCACTGCACCACCACAGCTCTTAATCAACAATCAATCTGATGAACCTTAATTTAGCAGACCAAATACAATCTTGTGTCCAATTTTTAAACCATGATTTCTGCTGTTTTTTGAACTAGAAATTATTCACAGACATTTCTTTCAGGTCTATGAGGTACATCGGACCAAGAAACCCACTCCACAGGAAGACTGTATCTCAGTTAAACTGAAATAGGCTATAGGAACAAACTTGAAAGTCTGCTTGTGTTTAAATTTCCTCATTTTTTATATTCCAATTGAGTCAGGGTGGAGCCAGCTTGATGCCTGATATCATCACTTTTCCCAGAACTTAAAAAATGCTTCTGCCGTAATTGTTTCTTTAACAGTTTTTGAATATTCCAAGGCGCTCTTGATGGGTCTCTACTATTTCTTAGTTCAGACACTATTCAAAATGAGGTCTGCAAATTGTTATAACTTTGGACTATCGTAAATTTTAGCAAGCCCAATTATGCAATTGGAAATAATAATCATGCAAACACATTGCCCAACTGGAGATGGAAGTGAGACAACAGAAAAGCAATAAAAATGCAGCTGCTTGATTCTTCTACACAGCAATCCTTTTCATATCTGCCATCAGCTATCAAATTTCAATATTTAAGATGACAGAAGAGAAAAATCTTAATTGCCTGATATTTCCACCCAGTGTTTGACAAATGATCTTCAGCATGACACTCAAAGAAGAGATACAGCCCTTGGACCACAAAAGATTGTGTGTTTGCATCCTACAATATTTTCTTAAAGCAGATGGCAGTCTGCTCATTTTGTTGCCAGCTGTGAGATAGATTCCATTAGTCTTAGCCAACCAGATAGTCTGTATGGAAAAAACAACAACATTCATACAGTTTGTGTCAATGGTAGCAATATAATTCAAATATCAAATTGCAAGAATAAGACATAAGCTTCCTTGCCGGATAGCAAAAAGAGAGGTTGATGTTTGCACCCTTTCTCTTCAAGAAATACTGGCTTGATTTCATGTTTATTTTGTGTCATCCTATTCAAGATGCTAGTCCCAATGCATAAGCAACTGCTGTCTTCAAGAACTGTATATTAAACTAATATACAGTTAAAACCAATGAAACTAATCAAGGAGAGAAGCAATTTGGAATTAAGGAGAAACTTCCCAACTTTGAGAACAATTAACCAGTGGAACAGCTTGCCTCTAGAAGTTGTGGGTGCTTCATCACTGGAGGTTTTTAAGAAGAGCCACTTGTATTAAATTGTATAGCAATGGTTCTCAACCTTTTTAATGCCGTGACCCCCAACCGGTTGTAAGTCAAGGACTACTCATCCGGTCGTAAGTCGAGGACTACTCGACTGGTGCAGCACCGTTTGCAGAATGGGACTTTTGGCGGGCTCAGGAGGGCAGAGACAGCCTGGACAATTCCTATTGGCGTTTGAAAGCCAACAGAATTAGACTCTATTCAGGAGAGTCTGTTCTATTGGCTTTCAAAAGCCAATAGAATAAAAGGGAGTAGCACAGCTAAGGAAAAGGGGAAAAAAATGGCGGACAGCTTTGTTTGGCGACCCCATGAAATGGTCATTCGACCCCAAATGGGGTCCCGACCCACAGGTTGAGAACCACTGTTGTATAGGGTCTCCTGCTTGAGCAGGGGGTTGGACTAGAAAAACCCCAAGGTCCCTTCCAGCTAGGCTGGCTGGGGAATTCTGGGAGTTGAAGTCCAAACATCTTAAAGTTACTAAGGTTGAGAAACACTGCACTAGAATGATCAATGTGCATATGATGTATTGTACAAAACCATCTCCTAAGCCAGCCTGAGCTCAGTAGGACTTACTTCTGAGAAACTACGAACTTTATTGCACTCAAGCCCAACCTTACTTTTTAAAATTATATTTTCTTTACTCTTCAAAACAAGAGCCCTCTTAGAAGCAATCTGCATATGTGACTTTCCCCATTGCCTTGCATGTTGTGAATGCTCTTTTAAGGATGTGTTCATAACAATTCTTTTAAGTATTGGTCAAATTATTCTGGGACTGGATTCAGCCGATGGACATCTAGTTTATTTATTTATTAAATGTAATATGCCACCCATTTCATTGTTGAGCAACTCCAGAAATTTCTTAGAATGACCTGCTTTTTCACTTGGAGTCTTCAGCCAAATACCTTTGATTTGCAGTCCATTTGTGGTCCTCTAAAGAATGTGCTGGCACCTGTACACAAGAGCAGTAAAGACCCTAAGCCACTGTCCCATCTCTCTGATTCAGACCTTCCAAATAACAGTAGTTTCCTCCCACACATTTGTGGCAAACTCATCAAGTTAGCCAAGGCTGCTTGCCCGATATTTCTGCCCAACACACAAAACAAGAATTGTTTCCCGCCTGCTTCTCCCAAACTGTCAACCTATCATTACCATCAGCTTGACCAGAGGTCTCCAAACTTAACAACTTTAAGACTTGTGGACTTCAACTCCCAGAATTCTGCAGCCTAAGTCTTAAAGTTGCCATGTTTGGGGCCCCTGAGCTTGATAGGCCAGATTCTGATCCTTTGCTGCCCTCTAGGACTTTTTCTTTCTCTTTCTTTTCTTTTCTTTCTTTCTTTCTTTCTTTCTTTCTTTCTTTCTTTCTTTCTTTCTTTCTTTCTTTCTTTCTTTCTTTCTTTTTCTTTCTTTCTCCTTCCTTCCTTCCTTCCTTCCTTCCTTCCTTCCTTCCTTCCTTCCTTCCTTCCTTCCTTCCTTCCTTCCTTCCTTCCTTCCTTCCTCCTTTTATTGACCAATGTCCATTTGGAGAAAATACACTAACAGAGAGAACAGGATATATTTGAATATATTTGTATATATATGCAACATTTACTTCTTACTGACACATACAGCTTCCTGCATGTTTGCAGGATATGCTTTCCACAGCTCAAAAAAGTTTGTTCAAATTTGGATATGGCTGATTGGATTAGCAGTCAGGCGTAGATTTATAGCCTTACTTGGAAGAAGCAAGTTGTCTGGCAATTGATGAGGCTTGCTTCTTTGTCTGTGTTTTGACTCAATATGGCAAGCTCTGTTCATGGTTTGTTTTGATTTTAGGAAGATTGCTCTCCACCACAGTCAGAGCAATCTTAGAAAAGGCAAAGCACAATATTGCAGTGTTCTAACACCTTTCAGATTATGCTGCAGTAATTATGATATATAACTCTGTTAACAAATGAACAATGCAAGTACCCTAGCATTGGAAAAATAACAATAAAGAGTACAACGTTGCAGAACTATGAGCATTTACAAGAGACAATGAGAGTTCCAGAACAAAATTAGTTATCTGTACAAAAGTGAGCCTCTAGAGAAAACGGAACAATCTCTTTTGATAAATGGGGCTTGAAAGAAACTTTACAATGTGGTAGGTACATTTTTTCCTGTTCCAATCAATCAACCGTATCTCCCTCCCCCCAGTTCCATCCCCCATTCCCACCTGTCTTTCCAGCCACCAGCATTCCTAGGTCAAAGTTCATGTAATCCCTGGATTTCTCCATCCCTGGCCTTTCTCCCTCCACCTCCCAAAAAATTATAATTTTGGCAAACTTCAGGATGTTTTGAACCAGTGTTTTTCAAATTTGGCTACTTGAAGATGGCGAAGACGTCAACTGCCAGCAACTTGAGCATGCTGACTGGGGAACTGTGGGAGTTGAAGTCTTCACATCTTCAAGCTGCCAAGTTTGAAAAACACTTAACGTTAAAAGTTGCATTTTGTTTCTTTTTTTGCCCCGTTATTATTTTAAAATCAGTCAATAAACAGAAAGTTTGAAAAAAGATGGGTTTAAACGAGGGATAGACAATCTGATGGGTTCTGCCTTCCCTTAAGAAAAAAGGAGCCATCTGTCCATAACCTGCCCTACCTATCCATGGTTCTATAGTATTTATTTTATTTAGATATCATTTTTAACCAGGAGTTCAAAGCAATATACAGGGGAAGGGGCTCTCTGTTAACCTCGCAACAAAACCCTGATAGAAGGTTGGGCTGAGAGAGAGTAGATGACCTCAAGTCGCCTACTGAGCTTCCACAGTTCACTTCGGATCACTCCAGACCGGATCCAACACCTTCCACACGCCTGCGCCCAGAAGAATTGCTGGACCCTTTTCCTGCGCAGGCATGTTTGACTCGGAGTTGAAACTGGGTTTTTGGCACGTGTGCGGAGGAGCGAAGGGGCTGCGAGCCACACGGGTCTCCCTTCTTCCAGAAAGAGCAACTCCAAGAGACCCTTTGAATCCGACGGTCCCCAACTGGGAGAGTCGCCTCGGATCCCCCCTCTGTCTCCCCAAAATCTGGCGGGGGGGGGAAACGATGGGGAGGCGCCGTCCTCGGAGAGCCACGAGTTGGGGAAACGCGGAAGGAGAGGAAATTCTAAGACGGAAAGTGTTTTTTTGGAGGAGAGAACCTCTTGTCGGTTCCCAGGGAGGGGGCATTTCCCGGGATCACCTACCAGAAACGGCAGAAAGGCAGAAGGGGCCAAGGAGCACCAGCAACGGCAGCAACAGGTTCATGGTGGCCTCGGCGGGAAAGTTCCTCCCAACAGCTGGAATCCGGAGCCTCGATGCCCTCCAGCTGTTAGCGCCAGCCAAGAACTACCCTGTTTACTCCTCCGCGCACCACTTCCTTCTCGGCGCGCAAGAAGGCGCGCCTGCTCCGGTTAGGACCCCGGGGCGAGCTTCCCACGTGACGCAGGCAAAGGAGGCGGGACGGCAGGTCCGCATTTGGACAGGGGTTCTTGGACAATCGTCTTCGGCTCTGCGGGTTAGAAGCCCCTGGCTGGGCTGGCGGGGTTTCCTTTGCCCCCTTCGCAGGGGAGACTCCTCCACCCCCCGCAGGCCCGGCTTCCTGGCAGCCTGAAGTGGGCGCGCCAGCGGTGCCCAAATCCAGAACGATTCCCGAAAGTCAAGGCACGCCTCCACGTGCAAAGCAGTCTGCTCCCCCGCCACCCTCGATCCTGCCTGACGGGTGTATGGCGGCTCCCTGCGAATTTAACTTGTCCAAAACAAGTCCCAAATTCCCTTTCGTTTCCGACTCTGCGTGTGTTGTGGGACAGAACATCAGAAAACAGTAACAGTTGGAAGGGGCCTTGGAGATCTTCTAGTCCAACTCCCTGCTCAAGCATTTTACACAAATGGATTCCAATCCAGGAGGATCCCATTTTAAGTCCCTAGCAGAGATTTTTCTCTTCACTCTTCCCTTTTTTTTAAATTTTCACTTTTTTTTTTAACCCTACATGCTTCCAGCGGTTGAACAGAGTGGCCCATTTCTAGTCACTTATGCCTAATTCTGAGCCCTGGTGTGTTGAATCCTGGCTTCTAGGTTCCTGTGACACATGGAATCTCAAATTAACCCCTGTGGGTTGGATTCCTGCCACTGTTAGGTAAGGGTTAAACAATGGGGTCCCCTAAACTATGAGTTACGACTTTGCTGCACCCCAGTTAGTATAGTGAAGGGAAAAAAACTACCCCAGACTCAATGGAGACCAACACAATCTGCTTGAGCAAGGTTTATTGAGCTGTGTAGCTGAGTACAGGTAGTCCTCAACTTACAACAGTTCATTTAATGACAGTTTGAAGTTACAATGTCACTGAAAAAAAGTGACCTATGACCATTTTACACCTTTTACAACCACTGTGGTATCCCCATGCATCAAAATTCAGACGCTTGGCAACTGACTCATATTTATGACTGCTGCAGTGTCCCAGAGTCCCTTGGGATCCCCTTTTGCGAACCTCTGACAAGCAAAGTCAATGGGGAAGCCAGCTTCATTTAACGTAACTTCAGTGATTCACTTAGCAACTATGGCAAGAAAATGGGGCAAAACCCATCGAGCTGTTTCACTTAGCAACGAAAAAGCAGAATGACTCCTTAGTGACAGCCCATCCAAAGCCATGACCAAAACAACCCAGTATTTTTAGCCTTTGATTTGTGGGCTCAGCAAGCCTTGAGCACCAATCAAGAGCCTGTGAAGGATAAAGTTCTTCAGAACATAAGCCCTGAGTTTGCAGTTTCAACCTCTTAGTAAGCTATTTGTATGTCATATGATTATGGTTTAGTGCAGGGGTTTAGTGCGAGTATGGTTTAGTGCAGGGGTCTTCAAACTTGGCCCTTTTATGATTTGTGGGATTCAACTCCCAGAATTCCTTAGCCAGGCACGCTGGCTGAGGAATTCTGGGAGTTGAAGTCCACAAGTCATAAAAGGGCCACGTTTGAAGACCCCTGGTTTAGTGTTTAAGGCAGGGGTCTTCAAACTTGACCCTTTTATGACTTGTGGACTTCAACTCCCAGAATTCCTCAGCCAGCGTACCTGGCTGAGGAATTCTGGGAGTTGAAGCCCACAAATCATGAAAGGGCCAAGTTTGAAGACCCCTGGTTTAAGGCACTAGGCTAGAACCTGAGAGACTTAATCATGCTTCAGGTATGAAGCCCACTGGGTAACCTAGAGCCAGGCATTTTCTCTCAGCTCTAGAAAGGAGACAATGGCAAAACCATTTCTGAAATCTTGCCAAAGAACCCTGCAGAGACTTGCCCAGGCAGTTATTAGGGGTTAATCCTGATCCCAAGGCACACCCTGTCCCTGAAAAGGTACCGATACCTCTCTGCAGCCATTTTGTTAGGCCAAACTTCTTTTATTAATAAAATAATTTATTAATTATTTTCTCCTTCAATAGCCATCCATGAAAAATTATGGGATGGGTAGTCAGCAAATCTGGGTGCTCTTGATTGCTTAATCCTGCACTAAGTTGAACTATGTGGTTTGTGTCTCATGATCAAAAAGTCCCCGAGGACCAGCTGCTTGTTCTTTTGGTATTGGCCTCTGGTAAAAAAAAAAACAGAGAAATACCATTTCCTTCTGTGAGTGAGATGTGCTGGGCCAGCAAATTAATGCAGATTGTTATTTTCCTATGCGGTGTGGCTGTAGAATAAATTTACAAAGGAGTATAAGAGTTTGATGCAAGAAAAATACTGGGGGCGGGGAAGTGAAGGCTGGTACAATTTATGGACTAGAGCAGTTTCAGAAAAATATATGAATATTTCAGGAAAATATTTCCTGATTTTTTTCAGATCTTGCTGCTCTCCCTTTTATAATAGCAATGAGCTTTTCTCATCTATTGCAGTGTTTTAAAATCCAGTCTCTTGTATGCAGACCAGAATGTAGAAGAAGCCAGGAAAACATTTAATTATTTTATTTATTAGATTTATACTGTATACTGCCTTTTCTCCAAAGGTTCTTGATCTGCATTTTGACAGATGAAATCTCTTCTGGCTAAATTTGGATTAAAGATCAGTCTGACTTTCTTCATGCAGATCAGGACCAATATTTACAATCTGAGACTTTTAGGAAGCTCTTGACTAGATACCAAGCAGGGTTTTAAGTGGCAGAGGTGAGCAAGTGACATCTTATTTATGATGACATCATCACAAAAATGAAACAAATTTTGCAAAGCCATTTGCACTATTCATATGATGATGTCATGACACATTTGACAATACTGTGGCTTGTAACAGATGCCCAATCCCAGGTTTACCTCTTGAAAAAGAAAAAGCAGAAGAAATATTCCAGTTCCTCAATGGCAGATTGTCTAGATTTCTAGAATGGTTAGAAGTACCTGAACTTTGATACTCTGAGACCATTTTAAAAATAAATATGGATGCCAGGATGTAGAGGTGGGGGCCAGGTAGAGGTTGTGTGCAGCAAACTGCCCTTCCAATGCCTGCGTGCCTCTTCTCTCTACATTATCTCATCCCTACACAACACCATGGCAATGTGGGAAAGTACCCCAGGCTGGTACAATGACCTCACCTGCCTGATAACAGCTAGCTTACACCAACAGGATGTTACAGCCAAATGCTCCCTGTTTTGGGCCTCTGGCTTCTATATTCTTAAGGATTGGTAAGGAGTTTAACCAATAAAATGCTATTGCCATGTTAAACTTTTGCTGCTTGGAAAACTGTATAAAAGAATAAACGCTGCGATGGCGGTCAGCCATATTTGCACCCTGCAATGACTGAGCACTGATTACTACACCAGGAACAAGTATTGGCACAGTATAGAATTAAAATAATGTAATAATGTTAAAAAAGATTGATAATATAACAATGATGCAAGCTCATTGCTGCTCACTAGATTTCTGTCAGGGCCAAATAACCAGCATTTCACTAAGATCAAAACATCAAAGAATTTATTAGTGCTACCTATACACAAGAATCAGGTCAAATAATAGTCAAAGCTAAATTGGCATAGATAAGGGTCAAAGGAATTCACAGAGGACTGGATTTAAGTCTCTTGTGGGAATGCAATGACTACAAACTTTTAACTCCACTTTCCAGCTCAGCCTGCTTGTCTCCTACAGTATCTCTACATCAGGGGTGTCAAATTGCTGGCCAGTGGGCTGGATGCGTCATGTGGAAGCTGCGTCCACCCCAGCTACGGCAAGAGGAAAAAAGTCACGATACGTCCCAACACGTCACGTGACACAGGGAGTTTGACACCCCTGCTCTAAATGATCTATTCTAAGGTAGTGTTTTTCAACCTTAGTAACTTTAAGATATATGGACTTCAAGTCCCAGAATTCCTCAGTCAGCAAAGTTAAGAAACATTGGACTAGGATCAGACTTAGTGTAAGGCAGCTTCTCACACTCGTATTCTAGAACATGGGATGTTTTTCCTAACAAATCATGCATTGTAAAAATTGTGGTTTTTTTTTTTAGTATTCCTTGTATGCAAAAAAAGAAAGGATGGCCCTTTTTTTGGGTATGATAACTTTCTTGGTTAGCACTACTTCTTAAATTTTGAGGGGAAGAGTATTTACGTATATACTTAGTTCCATATGCACTCCACACCAGACAATTTTAGAAAAATGTATCTCTACTGGGTTCAACTAATGGGATTAAATAGCTCAACTTTGCAACTTTGCAAAATGTATTTGTCTTAAAAGCACATGCAATAAAAAAAAAATCATTAAAGTCTGGGTTGATGAAAATGTCATCTCCGCTGCCATCTAGTGCTGTAATTTTTCATTATTTTTCTTCAGATGATTCCACCATGAAGAAATATTCCTTCCCCTTCTTCCATTCTATGAAATAGGTGGACAATTTTGGGTTACAAAATAATTATCAAGTCTTTTCTAAACATCAAGGACGTTTTTTTAACCATTTGCTGTGCGCTTCTCTTGTACGAGAGAACACGCTGTGCTAGCCCAAATTATTCAGATTTAACTTCTGTTGCAGAATTGCAGCGATGAGCAATTTTGATGAGTTCCATCCTTCTGAGAGGCAATAAAATCCCTTTAGGAAGGTCTGATTTCTTATTAACTAATTAAGCACAATTTGTGTTTTTGTTATTGATATCACCAGAAAAAAACATTATCAAGTTTTCCATTTTGCGATACCTGCTCCTCTCTCTTTTTCTTCCCTCTCTGCCATGCCACCACGACACTTCCTGATAATTCCCAACAAATTGACTGACACCTCAGTGATTAAGATCCTGGTCTTGTAGAAGGCTGGCAGTTCCAGATGCAAGTACCATGCAATGGGGTGAGCTCCCATTACTTGCCCCACTCCTACCAATCTAGCAGTTGGAAAGCATGCAAATGCTAGTAGATAAATATAAACCACTTTGGTGGGAAGGTAATAGTATTCCGTGTGCCCTGGCATTTGGTCATGCTGGCCACATGATCATGGAAGTGTCTTCAGACAAGCTGGCTTCCTTGGCTAGGAAACAGAGCTGAGCACT